CACACACACACACACACACACACACACACACACACACACACACACACACACACACACAAATACACACACCACAGATACACACACACACGCACACACACACACACGCATGCATGCATGCAAATGTACAGACATACATAACAGAGGGATGCTCTGTTACATAGCATAACAACTGTGTTTGGTAGCAATAAGAAGTCGTCGACTTTGTCTGAACATGAGCAGCCCCATTCTTCCTTTAGAAAACAGGATAATATAATATAAAACAGATCAAACACTTTGTCTGAGGGTCACACCCAAGTTCTTAGTAACTTCTTATTTTTAATTTTACCTGTGTATTTGCCATTTCGCTCATAGTCGCTTAGGAAATGATAAATGACAGGTGTCGGAACTATGTATCCGATGTTTTCCGCGTCATCCGATTTTAATGATTGGAACGCAATTCCAACGCACTCGCCCCGATTGTTGAAGGCTGGCCCTCCACTGTTGCCTAGGTCAAACACATCAGGAATATGTGCTTGTGTCAGCCTCCTGAATCATGCCACCACCAATCAGTCAGGAAGAAAGTGTACCCTTCCCTCTCATTCCCCACTCATCCACTGATCCAACAGCCCGACGCTCCCCCAGCAGCCCACTTTTCTTTTTTTTCTTTTTTTTTTCTTTTTTTTCTTTTTTTTTTCTTTTTTTTTTTCTCTTTTTACAGAGAATCTTGGACATTTATTACCAACAGGACACCGGAGGCCAGCATACCCCTACCTTCCTTCCTTTCTCACCACTCCTTCCCCAACCCTACTGCGTGCACAAACTACAACCATTATGAATCCAAAAAAGACGCAAGCCTTCCTGTTGCCTTATCCTTTCAATTTAAGAACCTCTTCTTTTTTTCTTTTTTTTTTACCACGTACGTCGTACTTACTAAATCAGTAAAACTAGACTCCAAAGGAAAGGCAAAGTAATCGCGGTAAATCGTCCCTGGATTTTACCTCACATGTCAGGTTAACATGGCTCCTGGACCGGTGGTATATGTATATGCAGGAAATGGATGAAAATATGTACCAACTTACCAAGGCAGATAAACCAGATCGAGTCCAGATGGTCCAACCGGGAAATTCCACTAACACACCTTGATCGACACCAGAGCTGACTCGAGGTAGGCTGGCCAAGCTATGTATTGTCACAAATCTATGAGCTAAATGAGTGCACTTTGCGAAACAAACAATAAAAATCATACTTGCGGCGCATCCCGTGCGCGCGGTCGTGGCACATGCGGCGCAGAGCGCACGCGCATGCATGCGCGCGCACGTGATGCGGCGCATCATCAAAAAAAAAAGAATTTTTTTTTTTTGAAAGGACAGGGTGGGGTGGCCAAACATCCCCCTCGCTTTTAAAAATCAGAAAGCAAGAGGGACAAACTCCGGGGCCACGCCATACCCCAAAACTGTGGGCACATGTCTATACCATACATGCGGCGCATCGCGATGCGCTGCACTGCGCACGTGCGCCGCACGGCGCATCCCGCACGACGTGCGCACACTGCATGCGGCGCACCTCCAAAAATGGGGGTCAAAAAAAAAAAAAAAAAGTTGTGAGGGGCAGTAGTAGACCCGGCCCCCTCGCGTAAAATAAGAAACGGGCAGCCAGATTTTTTTTGGAGGCAGCGCGTTGGCCCGCAAGCTTTTAGTAATCTGTAGTTCGGGTAACACTCTGTGTGTATGGAAGGGTTATTGCAGTCTGTATGGTAGGGTTCTTGTAGGCCAGATTCAGTCATGATGAGGGTCGCGATTTCTCAAAACGTTCTCTTCTTTATTACTTCTGAAGTAGAAAACGACGGAACTGACAGCCGTTTTTCCTGGAATGGAAAAAAATCAAGAATTTCTTTGCACGAGTGTCGCCCGGCACGTCCAACCTGTCAGAACCTCAACGGTAATTGCAGTCTGTATGGTAGGGTTCTTGCAGGCCAGATTCAGTCATGATGAGGGTCGCGATCTCTCAAAACATTCTCTTCGTATTACTTCTGAAGTAGACAACGACGGAACTGACAGCCG